CCATTTCCCCCCCACACCCACCTCTCCACCGAGCAGTGATGCGTGCACCCGTGGGACCCCCCCACGGCGTAGATGAGTCCGTCGATGACGCCCACCCCGATCCTGTTGCGGGGGACGCTCATGGGGGCGCAGGGCGACCACCTCCCGCTGAGGGGGTTATAACAATCCACGGCGGCCGAGTCCGTGTTGCCCTCGGGGGAGTTATTCCTCCCCCCCACGGCGTAAAACAACCCCCCGACCGCGCAGCCCCCCAACCCCGAGCGCGGCGTCTCCAGCTCCGCCAACCTCACCCACGAGCCCTCCTGGGGGTCGAAAGCCTCCAAGGTGCTGAGGGATCTCCTCAGGTAACCCCCGGCGGCGTAAATCAGCTGCCGGACCTTTGGGCAGCGGCCGGGGGGATCCCCGGAGGGTTTGTGCAGAGCCAGATCGCGGAAAACGCGCGCCAGGTAGCGCAGGGCGTCGCGGCCGAGGTCGCGGCGGCGGCGGAGTTGGGCGCGGAGGAAGCGAGGGGTGAGAGCGTGGCAGCGGACGGCGCGGAGGAGAGCGGGGAGGAAAGGAGCCCGAGCCCCCCGGTCCTGCTGGACCCAAGAAACGCAAGCCTGGAAGACTTCGGACTCGCAGCGGACGTTGAGCTCGTCGCGGCTCACCAGAGTGGCCAGCTGGCAGTGGGACAGCGAGAGGAATTCTTCCTGCTTGGAAACCTGGGGAGAAAATGGGAAAAAAGGTGAGAAAAGTCTCTAAAATTGATAAAAATCAACTCAAAATTAACCCCAAAATTATATCAGGGTAATGGGACAGCGAGAGGAATTCTTCCTGCTTGGAGACCTGGGGAGAAAATGGGGAAAAAGGTGAGAAAAGTCTCTAAAATTGACAAAAATCAACTCAAAATCAACTCAAAATTAACCCCAAAGTGATATCAGGGTAATGGGATAGGGAGAGGAATTCTTCCTGCTTGGAAACCTGGGGAGAAAATTGGAAAAAAGGTGAGAGAAGTCTCTAAAATTGATAAAAATCAACTCAAAATTAACCCCAAAATTATATCAGGGTAATGGGACAGCGAGAGGAATTCTTCCTGCTTGGAAACCTGCAGGGAAATGGGGAAAAAGGTGAGAAAATTGACAAAAATCAACTCAAAATCAGCTCAAAATTAACCCCAAAGTGACATTCTGGCAGTGGGACAGCGAGAGGAATTCTTCCTGCTTGGAAACCTGCAGGGAAATGGGGAAAAAGGTGAGAAAAGTCTCTAAAATTGATAAAAATCAACTCAAAATTAACCCCAAAATTATATCAGGGTAATGGGACAGCGAGAGGAATTCTTCCTGCTTGGAAACCTGCAGGGAAATGGGGAAAAAGGTGAGAAAATTGACAAAAATCAACTCAAAATCAGCTCAAAATCAACCCCAAAGTGACATTCTGGCAGTGGGACAGCGAGAGGAATTCTTCCTGCTTGGAAACCTGGGGAGAAAATGGGGAAAAAGGTGAGAAAAGTCTCTAAAATTGATAAAAATCAGCTCAAAATTAACCCCAAAGTGACATTCTGGCAGTGGGAGAGCGAGAGGAATTCTTCCTGCTTGGAAACCTGCAAGGAAATGGGGAAAAAGTCTCTAAAATTGACAAAAATCAGCTCAAAATCAGCTCAAAATCAACCCCAAAGTGATATCAGGGTAATGGGATGTCACATGGAACTCATCCCGATTGAAAACCTGGGGAGAAAAGGTGAGAAAAGTCTCTAAAATTGACAAAAATCAACTCAAAATTAACCCCAAAGTGACATTCTGGCAGTGGGACAGCGAGAGGAATTCTTCCTGCTTGGAAACCTGGGGAGAAAATGGGAAAAAAGGTGAGAAAAGTCTCTAAAATTGACAAAAAATCAACTCAAAATTAGCTCAAAATTAACCCCAAAGTGATATCAGGGTAATGGGATGTCACATGGAACTCATCCCGATTGAAAACCTGGGGAAAAAGGTGAGAAAAGTCTCTAAAATTGACAAAAATCAGCTCAAACTCAGCTCAAAATTAACCCCAAAGTGACATTCTGGCAGTGGGACAGCGAGAGGAATTCTTCCTGCTTGGAAACCTGCAGGGAAATGGGGAAAAAGGTGAGAAATTTGACAAAAATCAGCTCAAAATTAACCCCAAAGTGATATCAGGGTAATGGGATGTCACATGGAACTCATCCCGATTGAAAACCTGGGGAGAAAAGGTGAGAAAAGTCTCTAAAATTGACAAAAATCAACTCAAAATTAACCCCAAAGTGATATCAGGGTAATGGGATAGGGAGAGGAATTCTTCCTGCTTGGAAACCTGCAGGGAAATGGGGAAAAAGGTGAGAAAAGTCTCTAAAATTGATAAAAGTCAGCTCAAAATTAACCCCAAAGTGACATTCTGGCAGTGGGACAGGGAGAGGAATTCATCCTGATTGAAAACCTGGGGAGAAAATGGGAAAAAAGGTGAGAAAAGTCTCTAAAATTGATAAAAATCAACTCAAAATTAGCTCAAAATTAACCCCAAAGTGACATTCTGGCAGTGGGATAGGGAGAGGAATTCTTCTTGCTTGGAAACCTGGGGAGAAAATGGGGAAAAAGGTGAGAAAAGTCTCTAAAATTGATAAAAATCAACTCAAAATTAACCCCAAAATTATATCAGGGTAATGGGACAGGGAGAGGAATTCTTCCTGCTTGGAAACCTGAAAGGAAATGGGGAAAAAGTCTCTAAAATTGACAAAAATCAGCTCAAAATCAGCTCAAAATCAGCTCAAAATCAACCCCAAAGTGATATCAGGGTAATGGGATGTCACATGGAACTCATCCCGATTGAAAACCTGGGGAGAAAAGGTGAGAAAAGTCTCTAAAATTGATAAAAAAATCAAGCTCAAAATTAACCCCAAAGTGATATCAGGGTAATGGGACAGCGAGAGGAATTCTTCTTGTTTGGAAACCTGCAGGGAAATGGGAAAAAAGGTGAGAAAAGTCTCTAAAATTGATAAAAATCAACTCAAAATTAGCTCAAAATTAACCCCAAAGTGATATCAGGGTAATGGGATAGCGAGAGGAATTCTCCTTGTTTGGAGACCTGGGGAGAAAATGGGGAAAAAGTCTTTAAAATTGGCAAAAATCAGCTGAAAATCAACTCAAAATCAACCCAAAAACGCCACTAAGGTAATGAGATGTGAGAGGAATTCACCCTGATTGAAAACCTGGGGAATAAAGGTGAGGGAAATTTATAAAATTGATAAAAATCGACTCAAAATGAAGCCCAAAGTGACGTCAGGGTCATGAGATGTGAGAGGAATTCATCCTGATTGAAAAGCTGCAGGAAAAATGGGGGGAAATTTCTAAAAATGATCAAAATCAGACCCTGAATCAGCGTCCCAAAGACCCCCTGAGACCCCCAGAGCCCGGATCAGCCCCCCAGAGCCCGGATCAGCCCCCCAGAGACCCCCAGAGCCTGGATCAGACCCCCAGAGACCCCCAGAGCCTGGATCAGACCCCCAGAGACCCCCAGAGCCCGGATCA